CGATAGGCGTCTGTCGATTCATCAAATAATACTTTGCAAAAAACAAACGGGATAACCGCTAACGTCCGTGCCGTATAGCGTGAATAACCCTGTATTTTCTGCAAATTATTAAAATTTAAATATTTAATTAATTGTGTAAAGTTAAAAAAGAAATTGTTAAAGTGTAATTTTTTCTATAACAAAAACTCAATTTTAGTATACTGAACCATTTGAACTTTGTCCCACAAATGAAGCTTTTTTACAACATTAAGACCTAAACCATTCGAAATTGTGGTAATTCTATTTCCATAATAAGTAATAATAATATAATAAGTCCCGGATAGCAATCCCCCCTATTCAAGGGCCACCCTAGTACCTATAGTGTATGGTATATTCAGTTCAATAGTAGAGAGTTTTTCGGACCCTTAAAATTGCGTTGGCCTTAAACGTTAAAAGTTATACTGATCATGCGCAGTAATAAAATAAAGTGTTCAGGCAAATAACGTTAAGTGTGGTTTTTAGTTTTTGATCCCGCGTTTGTGGTACTCTTAATGAAATAAACCTCACTTTATTGTTTTCTTATTCCGTTTTGTTTGGAAAAGTTTCAAAGTTAGTTTAAGTTTGTATTGTTATTAAACAAAAACTGGCTAAGCTGGAAGAAAACATTGAAGCTGCCTTTCTGCGCCCGAATGACCAGGGAGATGTGGATCACGATTTAATAAGAGGCTTAATTTAACACGACATCTTTGACCCACCTGTTGTTGCAAACCGAAGAGCTATTTTTAATTTAGAAAATATTAAGCCCAGAGATTGCCTTACCAATTTTAGGTTTCAGAAGGAACAAATTTCGCGCCTGATCAATGTCTCCGAATACCAGAGAAACGCATTATTTTTCTTACCAAGTCCATTTCACTATTAGTTGACGGAGCGGAAAATGGAAAATAAAAATTCAAAATCGAATAGTTAGGTTATGGGTTAGACGTTAGAACCTGTCCGTTCGATGTTAGTAGTGTTGCCAAAGTTCAAATTTGCCAAAATAATTTTTACATAAAATCCGTAATTTCGCAATAATGGCGTCAATTAATCAATTAAAAAGTATTATTTAAATTTACAGTACATTTCTTATTCTATTATAACCGCTTATTTTATTAATAATATGAGAAATAAGTCAAATATATCAACACCGTCGTTCCGCTTTTTAACCTTATGATTATTAACGTTACCCCTACTCGTACGTAAATAAAGGAACACGTTATCCTCTAATAACATAAATAGTTATTTCTTTACTGATGCGCATGCTCAGAATAACGGATAACATAAAACGTGTTGCAATTAAGGTGCCTAAAAACTCCCTAGTAGTTCCTCTTAGATGGATATTGGACAAAACCAATTAAACGTAAACAAATGCTAAATAGATATTAAAGAAATATAAATAGGTATTAGAGAAATTATAAATTGTTACTAGAAAATATAAATATAGTACATATGTACGCTATAACTTTTGTCGCACACCATGCGACGAAATTTGACTACCAACATAAAAACAAGTATGAATGAAATTTGTGTGATAAGTCGAATCTCTTTTATTGTGTTTTGGGCATTGGAGAACCTCAAGCAATCATAAAATACCAAAAACTTTATAATACTACCTAATTTAAAGCGATGTTGATTATTTATGTTCATCTTTAAAATTATTAGATTGGTGAAAATTACGATGCTGCCGAATCGATCCTAGATTTATGGGAAATGTTGTAATACCACATGACGTTTGCTTGTTTCATTTATCCATGACATTTGCGTTGACGGTATATTTGTGCTTTTCACACAAACCATTATTCCATAAAGAATAATCAGCAAAAGCGAGACACCATTGAGATATTTCTAGAATGCTTCTATTATTTATGTTTATACACTTAATTTATGACGAGTATGTCAACAACGCTCCACCGCCGATTGATGACGTGCTACCAAAGTTATTGCGTACAGACTATAGATATTCAGCTACAGTCAAAAGGACTACTCTATGAGACAAACTCACCTTGTACTGGGACAAACAAAAGGGGCACGAACACTAAGTATGTCGATGAATAACCAAATAACCAATTTTATCTAGGCAATATCGAGGACGAAAATCTGGAATCGATCACACTTTAAGTGCTGTTTGATTTATGTGACACTTGTTTACAGCTTTTGTTTCTAATTTCATGTTTTCTCACGCAAAGTCAATCGTCGGTATGTTAAGTGTTAAGACTTTTCAATTTCCATAAAACATAAAATTAAGGGCTACGAGGACAGATGCAAAGCGGTTCGATGTCGGATTACCGTATTAACTACATTTCGTTTTGTTTTATCGTTTTGACAGGGTGGCCCATGAGTTATGTGACGCTTAAACCTCTAAACTGCCCGGACTATCATAATTTAAGCTAACTTGCATTTTGTAACTTATATATACTTGCTAAACGCATAATTATGGTAGTCAGAGAAGTCAGAGCTAAAGGAAGTATTGTATTTGTGAAAATAAAGTTTTTAAAACGAAAAATTCAAAAGTCCAAAATATAACTCATGCCTCAAACTGAACATTAATATGAGCGGCATGGTCTTGCGAGAYTCTCGCAAGACTCTTGCAAAAGTCTTGATCTTACAGGACATGGTCTTGTCTTGGACAARACCAAAACCAGTCTCGCTCATCACTACTTCCACAGTTATGTGTGGTTAGTGGTGTTCAATTGCGGGCACCAGCTCAATCTGTTTCTGAGAAAGCAAAAAACTGCCGTGACATTTGAAGCTTGAACTTGTGAATTGCAACTGAATTCCGGCTGCCATTCCCGTTGCCAGAAATTTCCAGCTTAGACTTATTGTTTTCCAGACGGCCCAATGTAAACGCTTCATGTGAACTGCCCTGTTTTGGGAAGGAAATTCAGCATGTTCGACATGAATTGGACTTTCAACGAGAGCAACTGGACCGCGGCAACAGCACCAACAGATCCGCAGGTTCCACCCTGGTATGTTACAACCAAAATCCAGATCACGCTGTACGCCATCATTTTCCTGCTGGCTGTTATCGGAAACTCTTTGATTATTCTGACACTGGTAAGTGTTACACAATGCTGTTTTGGACGATCATAAAATGGGCCTTCGACCGGCCTGCTTAAAATTCCGCAAAAGTATTTTTAAACTCTCCGACATTATTTTAAATTCCATATACCCTTTAGGATCCGAACGACTTTTAATGAGAGTAGAGTCTCAGAAATTTCATACAACATTTTCAATTTTGGCAGCGCTACTCCCCCTGCGAACTCCCAAGTTTTCAAAAACATATCAAGGTTTTTGAGCAAAAGCACATCAAATCTCTGCAACCCGAAAAATCTCAATTTCAATCTGCAATTGGTCGGGCAAGTGAACTTAAGCGTTTAACTGTAAATTGCTTTCGAAATCGGCTACTTTAGAATTCCAGCGGCTGACGATATAAATCCGACTTGTTTCCTAAAAGAAAAACTTTTCGTTTACAAATGACTGAAAATTTGAGGCGACTATTTTCCACGGTTAATGGCCCGCTCCCCAATGTATCATCTTGGCCCGAAATGTGCAAGAGTTGAATTTTAAAAACCTTTTATGTTTATGAAGTGGAACATTATTATGAAATGCGTTGCCGCCAATAGCAAAATAAGACCCCAAGTATTTTCTCTTTAATTCCATTTTATCGCCTGAGCATGTCCGCTTTACGCCCCACGTTTAACCATTGAACGCCCGGCAAAATGCATGCAGGACAACGGTAATTTTAAATAAGAGTTTGCAGCTCTCCACAAAAACAGTCCAGATTCTCATCCAAAATGAATGGAAATACAGGGTGGTGCGATCGAGACGGGGGGGAAGATCACGGCAACTGGAGTGTTATATTCATTAGTTATTTTGGCTACAATGTGCCAGTCAAATGGAACACCCTGTATTTGCCCCCCACAATTGGTTCTCTTATAAATAAAGATTATTTGAATATAAGGATTATTGGGTCTGCGGTTAATAGTTTTCCAGATATAGTTGAAAGCACTTTTTGTAAACATGACCCCATTAAAAAGTCAATTGGTGTCATGCCAGGTGATCTGGATGTCCATTCACTTGCACCACAGCGTCCAATCCAGAAACTTATCTTGCATCATCTGAGGAATTTCTTACTATGATACCCTTGTACACCCTTTTCAAACCGATGTACTCAGTAACGTAAACAAATATGAACATGACTTACTATTTCCAAAACTGCTTTAAATATATACAGGAATCGTTAAGCCAAACGATCAAATCCATCGCGCCTATCTTAGCGTGCAATAACATACAGGGTGTGTCATTTAAAATATCAAAGTTGCAGGTACTTTTTCATATAACCGGTAACGCCGCCCAACTGAGAATATGTTGGGTCGATTTTCCTTAACTGAATGATGCAAATTTTTCAAAATTTCACGCTTTTGACCGCAAATTCGCCTTTGCACGTATTAGAAAGCCGAAAGCATCAACCTTGGAAAATCCATAAAAATCTAAGTGAATTGTTCCTTAATAAAGCCATCTGATCTAAAAAATTGAACGCTATAAATGTGGAAAAAGACCAATTTAATAACACTCGGTCCCTAAGCCCGGTATTAGTAGGTATATGGGTAGTTTGTTTCGGCAACTTCTGCTCAAATTCGTTATAGTTTTACGACACAATAAAGAAAGAACTTTCGTGAAAGTGCACCAGAACGGGGGCAGGTAGATATGCTGATGTAACTGGTTGTTAAAAACTAACTGGAAAACTTTGCCGCAAAATTTAATCGTTTAAACAGCGAAACAAGAACAAAGCATGGTTATTTAGTCGTCGTTGACCGAACTGCGGAGCGAATCTTCCGTTGTCTAATTGAAAATCCATTTTAATTAAAATACTTGGGAAAATTGCTGCCATATTTTCGGAAACTAATTTATTTATTGATGAACTTTAGGCAACAAATTCGTCGAGCGGAAGAAATGATGGACATTTTTTTGGGATTTCAGGCCCAAAATCGCCGCATGCGAACCGTCACCAATCTGTTCCTGCTGAATTTGGCCGTTTCCGATCTGCTTCTTGGTGTTCTGTGCATGCCCTTTACCTTAACAGGGTACATTTTACGGGACTTTGTCTTTGGCGAGGCCATGTGCAAGTTGATACCGTTTTTGCAAGGTAAGTATGCGAAAATACCCACACACAGAACTTTTTTTACATGGGGATTTAAAGTGTGTTGTCTTAGGGTATATTTGGAGTAGACCATGCTTGATATTTGAAAAAAACTATTTCTTCTAATATTAATTTGCAAGAAACCAAATCAGAAGTGTCTTTGATTGCAGCTGCAAATGAAGTTTTACTCACTCCACATGGTTATCATTTCAATTTTTCAAGAGAGACAGCAAAGTAGGCAAGCTGGGCAAGACATGCCAAGTTGAACATTTCGCACCACAAAAGAACTCCCAATCAAATAACTCCAATATGAATACAGCCCCGAATTGTGCAGACATAAATAAACCCATCCCAAGGGAATGTTCATTCTCTATGTAAATCCTGAGAAATCCGCAGGATTTAGCCCCAAAATGGATATTTTGACATGTAAATCCGATCTTTAAGTATGCAACGTTGTTGATACCTTTATTGGCGTTTTTCTTAGAACAAATTCCCATCGATTTAGAGCCACCCTTGGCGGCGTCTAATGCGCAAAATTTGACATTCAAATAGTCGCTCGTCTGGCTCTTTTTTCGTGTATATGCCATTTAAATTGAGAAAATTTCTCAACTTTGCCGCAAAGTTGGTACACGGACAAATTCCACGTGGTAGGACGGAAAATTATTTTCAAAGTGCAATATCCCGATTCAACCGTGCTGCATTAAATTGAGATATGATGTTATTTCTCTAGACTAGAAAGAGGCGTTGTTTGCTCTAAATGCGCTTTTATGCACCGTCCAAAGTTGGGATTATTGTTTTTTCCATCTGTACTTCCCAAAAAAACGCTAAAAACTTGCTCAGTGTTCAGTTTTTCCAACCAATCAGTGTCGTGTCCGAAAGGCAAAGTACATTGGACTCTGTTGAATGTCCATGTGGTGCCGAGCCCTTCGGGCACGACACTGATTGGGCGTCAAAGAGAACAGTGGTCAAATTTGCTTTTTTCTTACACTCGCAGCGCAAAAAACACTCTAAACTGGCTCAATGTTCACGTTTCCCACCCAATCAGTGTCGTGACCAAAGGGTTCGGCACCGCAAATACATTAAACTCAACTAAAACGTTTTTTTTTCACGGTTTTAGCAGACAAATAATCTTTGAAATACGAAAAAATTACTGTTTTCGGCAGGACTTGAACCTGCCACCTTCATGACTGTAGTCATGCGCGTAAAGCTGCGAAAAATACCATTCATTTAGAATGTTCGGACGCAAAAAACTCTTTATTAAACCCAACTTCAAAGTTTCTTCACTGACAAAACTGGTCGCCAACAACTCATGAAGAAACAGGATTTATTTGAAATATTATCGAGTCCGGACCTGTGCGTTTTCCGGCCAGAGTCACTGATGAGCGCACGTACTTGAACGCTGTCACAAATGCATCAGACAAAGGCAACCCTATCCGAGTCGTGCGTGGCAGTGTGCCAGAACCTGAGAGCAACAGGGCCGGCTTTCATTACATATGAAATAAAATTTAATTTGGTTAAATTTGAATATTTTTTGTAATTTCAATGTTGAGGTTTTGTTAGTTTGAAGTTGATTTCAACATATATGATGCGCCAATCCCTTCGGGTACGACACTGATTGGGCAGAAAAGTGAACAATTAGCCAGTTTTCAATGCAGACGCAGAAGGTTCTAAAGTCTCTAAGCACCCGCTATATTTCTATTAGTGTTTAGGTGATTTTATTTATAGGCTTAGTTACTGCCCCTTATTAAACTCTGTGCAGATTCTTTTTCAGGAGTAGTAACTTCGTCTGTGGACGAAAATCGTAAACTAAGTAATGTTTGGCATTCGCAGACAAAGAAAATCATCCGCCCGTAAAGTTTCATTTATTCTCGCAAGCTCTTCAAGGCATTTCGGATTTTATGCTCCCTTAAACTCCTTATTCAAAACCTCCAGTCTAACCGGGGAAAATATTGTTTGTTATTTCCAAAACAAGTGAACTTTGCAGCAAAACCCCGCCCACTGTACCCGGTGATTACGAAATGATCTAATTAGTATCGCAAAAGTGGGTCGTATCCCATGGGTGGCCTGTTAACAAGCCAAATATTTCTAATTTCTTTATGTAAGTTTTCTTCGAATCGTTCAAGTCACGTTTGGGTCCTTGGGAAGCAAAAAAATGTGTCTTCAGTTGAGTTACTGCCCCGTTTCTACGAGGGATTGTTAATTACATCAACTCTTGGCCCTGATGATGACCAAGTGATTTTTAATTAAATTCGCATTTTCATTTAAAGCCCACACAATATTTGAGTTTGACAAGAGTGTTTCCATGGCCCATTTATGGCATCGAGCAAAAATTTTAACGATTTATTTTAATTATTTGAACGGCGGTCGCCCTCTCGCGTCAAGAAGATTGACGACTTTTAATAATTTCTGAGGGTTGAGGGATTCCAGAAACCGCCAAATCTCCTTAAAGGGAAAACATAAATTAAATGAAAATCTCACGCTGCATAACAATGGCAGGGCTGTGCAGGGAAACCGGATCGACAGGTAACTTATTTTGAAAAATAATTGCTTCAAGCCGCAAGTTCTATATAGGCATTTTTTACGGATAGTCTCAGCAAAAATTAACCGGAACTTGAGCGGATATTTCATAGACTCCAACTATTTCAATTAAATTCCCCTCTCCTTCTGGCTATGAAGACACGAATGCTTGGAAAATGCCAAATTTTATGCAACCCCAGAATTCCGCCAACATTAATTAAATTTAAAATGCCATTTTAATGTTTTAATTAAACTTATTATAGTCGGGTGGCTCCTGGACAGACTTCAGCGGGAAAATGCAGTGGATTAGACCAAACTGGCGCGCAAATTCGTGCAAGAGAAATATGCCCTGTTATGTTTGGGAATCTTTCTGAAGTTGCATGCCAACTCGGTTCCAATTCAATTGATTCGAAGCTGAGCCAAATCCCCAATTAACAATGAAAAATTCCTGAGCTTTTCCTTGGACTGCAATGCCACAGTTTAAAGCCACAAAATCGGGGTTTTATAACGAGATAAAGATAAGTGATATCCGATGAGGGGTTAAGTCTTACCTGGAAGAAAAAAAATATTTTTCATTGCTAAAGCGAGTGCAATTTATAAAGGACTTTTGTGAAAGTGGATAGTTTTCTGATGATTCTGATATCGGCGTTGGAGTGGAAGAAAAATGGCTGCTGAACTGCACATATCGCTTGAACGGATGCAACACATATTGAAAAATGAATTGAAAGTCAAGCCTTACTAGTTCTGAGAAGTACACGAAATTACTGCTGAACGAAAAAAAGTTAGGTTCCAAATAGCAAAGGAGTTAGTT